TCTGACTTTTTTCTCATATTATACAGAAATAAAATTAAAAAATCAGTTAACTTTTTTTTTTTTTTTTTCCAGTGGCCCTAATCCTCTTCCGTACGTACACGTGTTGCCACTGCCATGCGGGAATTTCGTAACTAGGCGGAGCTAGACATGCATCTGGCTGTTGTCAGCATAGATATCCATAATAAAGGATATCTATGGTTGTCAGGTTAGGTATTTCGTCGCTCTGGGCCGATTATTTAGTGAGTTAACCGGAAGTGGACTTTTATTTTGAAAGCATTAAGTTTATTGACAGTCGTTTCGGAAGTTACTCCAAGAACTCTGGAGAGGGTCGATCTTGGTGCCGCTTGGGCTCGTTTTTCACTCACAAGACAAACGTCATCGCCTTTTAGAAGAACTTTTAAGAAATTTAATCGTCTCTCTGTGTTTTACTTCACTACCTAAAACTTCCGTGGCCGACAACAAGCCTTTAGAGTGAAAACATGGAGGCGCAGGTTGATTCCCAGCTGACAGGTGAGAGGGAACTTTGGATGTAGCGGATTTCCATCAAGGTTTCTGGCTGTAAACCAGCAGCAGAAAGATACCAGTAGATTCGGAGGGAACCTGTTCCTGACACAAAGCTTCTCATGCGGACAAAGTTCAAACTTGATCATCTCTGTTTCTGTTCCTTATTTTTTTCTTCCAGCTGAAAACTCCATCCCCACCGAAACAACAGAAACAAACACAAGAATGACAAGAATACAGGCTCTCACCTTAATATCAATAGCGTCCGTTAATTTTAGTTCAATGATCTGTTACTCTATATTAGGCCCCTTTTTCCCAAATGAGGTAAGTTAAACAAAAAAGAAATCTGTGTTTTTGTTCATTGTTGGATTTTTGCTGAAGTAAACATGAACTGTGTCATTAAGATTGAGTGAAGTACTATGTATTTCTAAATTTATTAACTTTATCATTTAAGGAACTAATGTGTTTGCTTACTTAATGTTGAGAAAGAATTTGCACATTTTAAATGCAGATGTTACAATTTTGAAAATAAGATTGAATTTTTATAAATATATCATAGTGTACTCATCAGGTATTTGTGTTTTTCTTGCTTAGACTTACTTTTTCTAAGTAGCCAGTCTGGTTTTAACAAAAACAACAAGGAAAATATATAATATAAGGAGTGTGATTTCTATTTTCTGCTATGTTCTTTTTGCTCTGAAACATTTACTTGGTGGTTTGCTTATAAATGTACATACCTGAATTTAAATATAGATACAATAATGCATGTTGTTGATTTCCAAAATCACTAAAACTTGCATTGGTTTTGTAATAATAATTTTGGAAACTGCATAACAATCATCTGGTTTAAACTCCAAATAATCAGTAATAGAAAATGACTAGCAGTACCTGTTTTTTTTTTATTTTTTATTAAACTTTATTTACAAATACACAATATACAATTGCAAACAGTCATATGCTCGAGGTGCGGGATAACAAATCCTCAGGATTCCATGACAAAAAGGAGAGAGAAAAAAACAATTTGCTGCTTCATTTAGGGTTAAAAAAACATCTGACCTAAGCTCTAAAAACAGTGAGGTTGGGTTTGTTTTTAGCAAATTTACAGGCATGTATGTGGAAGTTCTCCAACAGAATAAAAAAATTTAAAAGATAGTCTTTCCCAGACATACTGTTATTGGAAATACCAAAGAAAACACGTTTGACATTTATTGTAATAAGTATGTTACATTCCAGACTAAAGAAAATTTTAAGTCAGACCAAAACATTTTGCTGGAACAGCATGTCAAAAAAGGTGGGTTAATGTTTCTTGTGCGACGTGACAAATAGAAACAGTGAGGATCAATATTTGGAAAATATTTATTAAATTCCCAATTAACAGGGTAACACCTGTGTAGAATTTTAAGGGACACCTCCCATACTTTATGAGATTAAAAAACTTTCTTGGCAACAACTATGTATGTTTCCACTCAATATTGGAATAAAGATAGTTCCAAAAGAAGATTGATGCAGGTTTGCTAATACTGTAGTATTCCTCTGGATGATTTCTCTAATTAGTTTATTTCCAATTTTGATGCTATGGAAAAAGATCTGAACTAACAATAAAATCTGGAACTAGCAGAATCTGGTTGTAAGAAGGCAACTATTCTTTCGCCTTTTAATCAAAAAATATCAATGTTGGATATTCTAATGTATATGCTTGCATGCTAAGCCACTATCGCGCCTGTTAAGAGCACAAGGGCTTCTGCAGACATCCTGAATAATTAACCAACTATTAGCCTTTTATACCATTGAAAATATCTGTCTTTTTCTGTTTCCGCCCAGGTTATCAAAAATTCTGAGTGCATTTATTGCAAAGATTGAGAAAATAGTGCTAATAATCCCATTCTGAAAAAGAAAAAAATGTTCATTAGTTCTGTAGTGTTTGCTTTAAGTGCAACCGAGTGTAGATAAGACGACAGTCACAAGGCTCCTTTAAGATCTTAATTGTGGTGTTATCTTTGAGTAGTTAATCAGTAATCTGTGCTTTGATGCTGGAGTAGTTACCTAAAGCAACTGAATGAGTAATCATGAGCTAAGTTGTGTAAATCTTTCCCAAAGAGGAGCTCTAAGGTTTGTTTGCTGGCTGGAAAGGAAGTTCCTGAAGCACATGAAAAATTAGGCCGGCACAATAGCCTCAAATGTAATAGAAAAAGCATCATTGTTGCAAAGCTCTTAGATCTTGTGGCATCTAAAGTAGACCAAACCGTATAGTATCGCCTTAACCCTTTTTACCCCCTTGTATTTTTCTCAGTGCACCCAAGTAACTTAAACCGCGTCTCATCTGACCTATAAACCCTTCCGCCCACAAAGGTTGTTAGCTTGTCCATGTGAATGGCTTCACATTTCTAGTCGAGCCTAAGGTGTTGATTCTGAAACGGGTGTGTTAATGTCAAGTTCACTGTGGAAAGTTCCTCTGGTGTAGCAGCACCTACCAGTTAGTGATAGCCTAGGTCAGGGGTTTGGCAACTCCAGTTCTTGGGGACCGTATCCTGCAACTTTTAGATCCAGCCTTGGTCCAACACACCTGAATCAAGCGGCTGAGTTACTTCCTCAGTATGCAGTCAGTTCCTCCAGTCCTTGCAATCATATAATTTAGGGATGCACGATATAATCGGCCCCCTATCGGTATCGGCCTGTATCGGCCTTAAAACTGAATATCGTACATCAGCCACCTCACCGATATTTAACCCGATATTTGATCAGCTTCTGACTTTCTAAAGTCTAAAAAAAAATAAAAAAAAATGCTACTACTTCTTCCTCAAAAACTTCTTTTTTACAGACTTAAAAACTTCTAAAGACGAGGGAAAAAATATTGATACATTAAAATATCCCAATATCTTCATATGCTGATATATTGCCATTTATAAACACCATATCAATCTCTTTTACTAATGAAATATTGCTATAATATGTCGTCGTTATGCTACGAAATCCCCCGAAAATTCACCAAATTTTGCCATATTTTTATATGTTGATATATTGACGCGGTATCGATCTGTTTTACTAACAAAATCTCACAAGAATTAGCAAAATATCACCAGAGTTTGTAACAGAACGATGAAATTTCACAAGATTTTGAAAGTAAAATAGATCGATACCGCGTTTTTAAAAATCTATTTGATATCAGCATATGAAAATATATTTGATTATATTATTTTCCAAAGTGTCAGAAATGGATAACAAAACTGCTTTTTTCAATGACTACTTATTTTTGTCCAGCTTTAACATCAGTATCGGTTATCGGCTACATGAGTTTTAAAATATCGGCATATCGGATATCGGCCAAAATCCCAATATCGTGCATCCCTAATATAATTGCTTGATTCAGATGTGTTGATCTCAAAATTGAGTGGAACGGTTCACAAAATCCACGGTTCGGTTCGGTTCACGGTTTCGTGGTCATGGTTTTCGGTTCGGTATATGTTGATTGTTAGCATGACATGTTGGTCGTGTTGCTGTTAGCATAAACAAAACGTGTTGCACAATGCTTGCACACTGTTCCACTTTTATCCACAGCTTTCTTTCCGCCGTCATCGTAGGTCACTCTAAATGCAAAGTGGTCCCATACCGCAGACCTATAAAGTGCTGCTGGCGCGTCTTCCAACTCCTGTTCTTTTCCACTCGCCATACCCACACAATTCTTTCACAATTTTTTCTGCTACACCTGGCTACGCTGCTTCGCTTCTTCTTCTTCTTGTTTACTACTGGTGGTTGGCTTTGGTCGCTGAACCGCCACCTTCTGCTCTGGAGTGTAAACGCTTCGCCTATTAGAAAAAGGAGCAGCGCATGAACCGAACACATCACACGCAAACCGAACCGAGACAGTCGAACCGAACGGTTCAGGCGGTTTTCATAAACCGTTCTATCCCTAATACTGACCCTCAGGTACTGGAATTGCCCACGCCGGACCTAGGTGGTTACTGAGTTGTTCCTCAACCCTTTAATCTCAGGGTTAGATTGTTTAAACTTGGACACAAATAGCTGTTTCAGGAGCTCAATATTCCCCCAAAAAACACTTAACTGGTTTCGAATGGAATTACACAGGCTAATGTAACCAAATTCCTCTGACTGATTAGGAGTAGGCATGACAGGAAATGTTTGGTCAGATCTCTGTTGATAGAGATTGTTTGTGATGACACACGTCTTTAGAAAGGAGCTACTATCTCATTTAGCTACGTAGAGATGTGACAATGTGTCCCTTTCCAATCAGATGTGCTTTTCTGTTGAGTTGTAGTTGATTTGTTACGGTAATCCATCTAGCCTTGCATGGCCTGTAGACCAAGAGATCTGGTGAGTGCGTCCTGTTAGGGCAGACTAACCACTTTTTCATTCATTGTGTCTTTTAGTGCCACTGCTATATTTTTTACTGTCATAATTGTTGACTTGCTTGACACTTGAGACACAAAAGGGACATTTTAGAACAGGCCATTGACTGAACAAGATAATTTAAGCATTCTTCCGTTTTATCAGGCTGTAGTCATGAGGAAGGACATCTGCTGCACGAGAAGTAATTCCTCTATCAGGTTATTTCGCATCATAAATAAGGCTATATTAAATAGTTTTTAAACAGAACCCATTTATTGTTCATCCATGATAAGACATGGACCATAAAATGAAGACGGATGTAGGATTATTAATGGTTACTTTGTCACCCAGCCGAAACGGGATGGAAATTTTGTTGTGGTACATCCTGTTCAAGAAAAGACAAAACGCAGACATTAAACATGGGGGATCACAATGTCCTTGCATTATATGTCCCCCTTATCTTTAGCAGGATAAAGTCTGAGATTGCAAACAAACCTGAGCACAAAGAAGCAACACAGATACAAAACAACGTCTTGTGGGGGGAACGCTGAAGCAGGTTGAGGGTTGCGTATGTTTGTGATTATTATGGGAGGCAATGTTCTAGAACCCATAAATATATTAATCTGTGCTATAATACCACAGATTAAGAATTGGATTCCATCATGTCCAGGAATGATTAGAGATACTAACTAATGATTCAACTAATGATTATTTTGCAAATCAGTTAATCTCTTGATTATTTTCTCGGTTAATTGATGAATAATCGGATAGAAAAATTTTCCTCAACGAAGGTTTATACTGAATTAAACCAGGTGGAACTAAAACTTGTTTTACTTGGCAATAATTTCAATAATCCTGATTAATCCGATAGTTTCATGAACTTGATCTAGCATTCTAATCCTGTCTTTTATTATTGTTTGGTTGATATCATACACAGCGATACCATTAAAACTATCTTTTCACTGTAAATGTGTGTTTGCGGTGTAACTTTACATATAAGTATTTATATTTCCCTACTAATTTAAAAATTTTTTGTTAATAGTATTAAATTTACTTATTTCTGTGCTTATTTATCACCTTTTTGTTTAATAATGTTAATGTTAAGCCTGATGCCTTTGCTCACATAATATGTATGGTCTGTTCATTTGGCATTAGTATCGGGTATCTGCTGATTCGTTTAGCCCAGGTGTCGCTATAGGATGCGATCTGGAAAAAACTGGATTGGTGCATCGTTAATGATGACTCCTTAAGCTATTTATTTTCTAAACACAGTAAATTTAGAGGGAATTAGATCAATTCCTCTTCTTTAATGCCACACTTTTCCTGTTAGTCACTTTTATACCTCATTACATCACATTAAATCCAACTTACATGTTGTTTTTGACCCTCTTGATTACTCTTCCCCTACAGGCGGTTAAAAAGGGAGCCAGTCAGACGGTAGTTGGTCTTATATTTGGATGCTATGCTGTCTGCAATTTAATTGGTTCTATGGTTATGGGAAAATATGTAAGTATATGATAGTATTTTATCAGTACTTGTTATGTAAGGTGTCATTTTCCGCTCCCTCCTAACCAGGCGTCGCTTTGTTTTCTAGATTGTCCAAATTGGTGCAAAATTTATGCTAATTGCAGGACTCTTTGTATCGTCGGTGTGCACCATTCTGTTTGGGTAAGCAACCTCATTATATTTACAATGTTTAACCGTAACACCAGGAATGCAACAATCATATGCTACTTTTATATGCTACTATGGACAAAACCTGACATTTCTGGTATAAAACCATTAGTGTTCCATTAGCGTTTTGTAATTGCCCTTTGTTGTTTGTTAGTCTGAATCCTGGGTTTCACTTTTTAAAATAAATTATCCTTTAGAAATTAGCTGAAACATCACTAAAACAGACTGTAAGGCACTAAAAGAGATGTTGATCACTAGATGTGAAGCAGAAGAGTAAGAGTTGTTTAGTTTCATAAAAGAAAATCTCATAATTCTTTCCTTTATGATCCCTGGTTTGTGATGCAAGTCTTCCTTTCCTTTCTTTCTTTGCAGATTACTGGATCGCGCTCCTTCAGGGGCCCCCTTCATTACCCTGTGCTTTATAGTGAGGTCTATGGATGCTGTTGGATTCGCCGCTGCCATGACCTCAACTTTTGCCATGACGGCAAAAATCTTCCCAAACAATGTTGCAACTGTTTTGGTGAGAGCAGACCTCCTTTGTCTGTCTGGTATGCAGCTGAGACGTTAGGATCTTGAGAAAACAGGGAGGCACAATGGTCTGAGCTGGTATGCGCTGCACTCTATATCCCAGTTCCATGAGGAAAACTCCCCAGTTCAAATTCTGTTATTGACTATAAAGTCAATATATATTTAATTTGCTAGAAATGGTTTATTTAATCCTTTTGATGCTTAGCTGAATATCAAGTTTATTCCTGTTAGGACATCAAACTTTAATGTATGCTAGTGGGATTTTATGTTAGACCTGAACTACCACAATACAAACCAGTGAGAGGATGCTCTGCATTCCCACAGTAAAGCATGGTGTTGGCAGCATCCGTCAACACATAGCAGTGCTGCAGAAACCTGTTAGGAGCCGCAGAAGACTTGAGACTGAAGTTTAGGTTGTTTTTGCTTATGGAGGGCAAACATAAACATGTTTTGATCAACCGAGATTAAAAAATGTAATTGAAAGGACTTGAAAAAATTCAGATCACATATTTTACAAAAAATAACGTCTTTAATCCTGTATAGCTGGTGGAGTTTGTTCACTTTATGTCGTCCTACCACATAAAATCCCAATAAACAGACTAAAATGTGCGTTTTAGAATGTGGCACCATGTGAAAGGCAAACTTATTCCAACCCCTGCATGTTTGTTGCTAATCCATGCATTTGTTTTTCAGGGAAGTTTGGAGGTTTTCGCCGGACTCGGCCTCATTCTGGGACCACCGATTGGAGGATGGTTCTACCAGTCTTTTGGATACGAAGTCCCCTTTCTGCTCCTTGGATGTGTGCTTCTGGTCATGGTTCCTTTCAACATATATGTGCTGCCTTCCATTGGTAGTAGTTTGAATATTCGAAACATCGTTTGATCAGCTTTTTTTTTCTTTTTAACCTTTTATGTTTTGATTTCCAACACAGAGGCTGAACCATCGAAAGACTCGTTTGTTCGTCTCCTCACCAATGGAAAAGTAGTCCTGATTTGTTTTGTTCTGGTTACAATAAGTTCAGGGCTGGGCTTCATTGATGCCACTTTGTCGTTATTTGCAATGAAAACGGTACTATGCTTATTTAATATAAAATCAGTTCAACCTTCTGTTGCTTGTGCTTAATGTTATTATTTTTCCTCCTTTGTTCTGCTCAGTTTGGCCTCTCATCTGGATACGTGGGACTACTTTTGATCGGTCTGTCTTTACCGTATTGCCTGGCGTCCCCTCTGATTGGTTATTTCACAGATAAATATCCTGTAAGTGTTGAAGCGTTCACGCGTGATCTAAGACGTATGGTTAGCTGTCATTTTAACTATAATCAATGCTCACCAGGTCACAAGGACAGGATTCACAGTGACGGGAGCAGTCATCACCGCTGTTTGTTTCTTTCTACTGGGTCCAGCACCTTTCCTTCACATCCCAAGGTGATGGTTTGTTTAACTAACTCCCGTTTGTTTAGGCAATCCCTACTTTCACATAAGTTTGTGGGTTTTTTATACCAAGGGTTGATTCGAAGAGGTTTTAATATTTAAATGTGAAGAAAAGCAACAGAATTTAGTTTTTTTTAGGGAACACTGATGGTCGATGTGGCTGGACAATTAGAAAATATTTAACTAACTGATTAAAATCTGTTAAAAAAATAAAGATATTAGGTAAAACTTGGTAAGTCTTGTTTTTTTATGGACCAGTTTTCCTTTTTTATTTATTTCATAGTAATAGGAACAAAAAAAAACCCTGAATTCTAAATTGAACGCAGACCTGAGCGCACATATTTTATAAATAGCTCAAGTGTTTTTTTAAGACAGTGACTCATATCTTGTCCTGGTTTCTGAGAAAAGACAGAAACTATTTTGTAGACCAGAAACTATGGACCCCAAATATAACAGAAAAATAAAAAACATGCAAGATGCTTCATATGTTTTGGATTTTTACAATTTACTCCTTTTCTAGAAAAAAAAATTGACTTTGTACTGATGAGGTTATGGTTTGTATTTTTCAATTAAAGAAACAGAAATGTTCTTTTTTTGGCTAGTGAGGACTTTCAATTTGATTATTACTATCCGTATGGCAACAAGGTTCAGGAATTTCACAAAAAAGGAGTAAATTCTGCAGTTAAAATAAATTTACTAATGCATAGAGCTCATAAATATGATTAAACTGACCCAAGATGTTCAAACCAGCTCTTGTATTTTTTCCTGCATGTGAAGTCAGCTGTGGCTGATGGTCCTCATGCTCAGCCTAATTGGATTTTCTCTTGGCATGACTGCAATCCCCACTTTCCCTGAGATCATCTCATGTGCACAGTGAGGACCTCCATACGTTGTTGCACATATGACACTTGTCTTTTAAAAAACACGACGTGGTTTAACAATTTCTCCTCTTAATTTTGCAGTGAACAGGGATTTGAAGAAGGACTCAGCACCCTGGGAATGGTGTCGGGTTTATTTGGTGCCTTCTGGTCCACAGGGTGAGTCCAGAAGCAGCTCAGTCGATCATCTTTGTTCCAGTTTAGATGTTAATGGGAATGTTTGTGTTGAAGGATGTTTTACGGGCCTATAGTAGGCGGCCTTATCACTCAGCGCCTGAACTTTGAATGGGCTGCAACTGTTCAGGGTGCCATGGGACTTTTATCTGTAAGTACTGCTCATTGTCTTAAAAGATCCAATTGTTTTAACTTGGGCTGCAACAACGAATCGATAAAATCGATAAAAATCGACTTTTAAAAGCGAATTTCATCATCGATTAGTTGTGTTGCGCGATTAATGCGTCATCCGCCGCCGTTGGCAGCTGCTGCCGTGGGGCGCCTCCCCCATCCCAACCCAGTTCTCACGCTCCCGCAGGAGTCCCTCTCAGCGCTGCAGTCAGAGCAGCAGGATGTTACCTTCAGAGTCCAGACTTTAAATGAAGCGCGCATGCGCCGGGATTGACGGCGCAAGTTGATCACAATAATTAAAATAGCCTGCGCTTTGTACAGTGAAAAAAGTCGTAACATGCAACTTTTGTAAAAACAAATAAACATGGCACGGAAGCACCACTGTTATGACGCAGCACCTGAAAAGAAAACGCGTTGGAGCCTTCGATGGCAGAGAAGAGAGCTGATCAGCAGGGTGAGCGGCCATGTTTGTTTGGTTTTAAAGTGGGGAAACGTAACGTTAGTTTCTCAGGTAGCTCATCTGATGCTTTCCTTACCTTGTTAGTAGGTTACAGACAGTGATAAGGTTGGCTACTTATTTTACTTTTAATTTCATTTGAATTAGCTTAAGCAGCGTTTATATTTTCTTTATAAATAAATTAACTTGCAAATTATGAGGGCAAGGCTTTTAAAGTTTAAATCTTCTGGCAAAGATAAAGTAAAGAAGATCCTGCAATTTATGGAAGTAAAGCAGAATAAAATCCAGCAAGATCAGTAATATGTCAATTAATTATATGCCACATTCCCATGTAAATATCTGTCTTTGGAGGATGTGTTTTTTAGCACCCCTAGTTCTCTCATTTTTATTCCAAATACAATTTATAATTTGAATCACAGGGCTATTTTTATCTCTATGGTTCAGTATTTTCTCAAGTAGCAACTTTAACTGCTATACTTTCCTGTCTTAAAAGGCAGAACTCTTCTAGTCTAAAAAAAACTCATTTGTTGAAATGGGGGGGCCTATTGTTTGAACCCCTTAGGGGCTTTTAAAAACAAAAATGCCTTTTTTTGCGCTTTATGAAACAAAGTAGCCTATATTTTGTGGATGTACAGCTACATTTCTCATGTAAGTTTGCGTAGTTTTAACACAAACATTTATTTTTCATATTGCACCAGTACAGTTAATGAGCAACCTGTACTTGTGTGCTTGTTTGTTCTGTCTAAAATGTTTATTTTGGAATAAAGAGGTTAATATAAAAAAATATTTTTTGTCCGATTCATCGATTAATCGAAAAAATAGTCGGCTGATTCATCGATTTTTAAAATAATTGTTAGTTGCAGCCCTAGTTTCAACTTTAAAGTTGGTATTTTTAAAGCACAAAAGAGATTTAACATTCAGTATTTGTAAAATATGATGCAATAAAGTCACGCTAAAAGTTAAATGTGTTAATCTTTGATGTGGGCAGGCCTTACTTCTTCTGGCTTACTCTCTCTTTAAGAGAAGACAACAAAGGTAATGGGACTCTAAGTTTTCATTTTATAAGATAAAGATCTGACTTTTTTTAATGTTAAACACATTGTCTGTAAATGCTGCCTGAGATTGCTGTAAATTTCCTTTTATTTTGATTGTAGGCTGAGAGTAAATGATCAACAAGCTGATGAAAATACCCCTCTCCTAAACGACTGATGGTCTCCTCTACCCACTGAAGGGAATAGCAGTTTTATTCGACACAAGGGAAAAATTTTGTTGCTTTTTGTCTTGCAACAGAATTGTAACGTTCTCTATGAGGGTTTTAATCGGGTTTTGCAGCACACAGACAACACGTTACGTGTGTGCGCTTCCCAGGTTCTGAGTCAAAGAGTGGAGTTATGATCATATAGAGAAACAGCCAAACCGAAGCATCTCCTCTTAGTGCCGAGGCTCGTTGCTGTTAACAGTCGTGGCTTTCTGCAGCACATGACTTGGATTTCATGCTGAAGTAAAGCTTTTAAGGCTCTATTAACACATTCCTGTGAATATTAAGGCAAGAAAATACTATAAGAGAAAAGATTGATTACACTGGTTTAACGTTCATAGACTGAAAAATGTTGCCATAAAACGGATCTCTGTTGTTTTTGTCTGATTAAATATCTTCATGGTTACCAATCCTGGCTATTTATTTTACACGACTCACTAATTTACTTGAATTATTGTTCCAAATGGGGTTTATATTTCAGTTCAAATGAACTTCAAAGTTTAGCAAAGGTTTTATCGGTACATTCTTATTCTTTAATAAATGCATTTTATCTCCATAGTGCATCATTTTTCAAGTTTAAATTCAGACTCAATTCAAATTCTTACAAAATGTACTTTTTTTGTATTTACAACGCTGGTATTGCATTTCTCAATTTATACAAAAGCGACAAAAATACAATTCTGAACAATGCATATGCTTTCAAAATAAAATGAATAAACAGTCCAAACCACCTGCTGTAATTAAGTGGGGTAGGGATAAACTGTTTTTAAATAGTTCATTAATCAGGCTGAAAAGCGCCGTTAGCCTGGCCTGCTGGCCTCTTTGGTAGCGGTCTGCGGGCTGGTTTGGCTCTTCTCCTGCTTCTAGCCGAACCTGAAGCGTCCACATCTGAGAAGGTCGACTGAGTCAAACCTGCTTCTGGCTTTTTCACTTTCTTTTTTCTTCTAGTTCTGAAAGTAAACCATATTAAAATTACAAATCGGACTTAACTTTTTTAAGTTGCATCTCAGCAACACTTCTACCCCTATGCAATATACAGAAACAACGCTTAATGAATTTAGAAAAACTTAAGCAAATGAAGCCTCTTACTTGGCATCAGTTAGCTCTGGATCGGTGTCTGAAAATGTTGGCTCAGAGAGAAACCTGAGTTCCCCAGAAGAACTGACTGCAGCACATACCTTGGAAATGTTAGTAAGAAAACAAGTAACCAAGAGGGAAGGATGCAGAAACACCAGTTAGTTAAAAGATTCCCAACAGATATATCTCCGTCATGCATTAAACTCTTTCAATTATCCAAATAAATAACTAGAGTGAGCTGCTCACTGTAATTTCTTATACAGTACAGATCAAGGTTGCAATAAAGTGGCAGGAAGCTGTAAACCCGCATCATTTCTGCACCATCAGTCTATTCTGCTTTGATACCAAACAAATCTGATATGAACTCCAGGTTGGAATAATTCAATTCAGTTTATTTCTATTGCGCCAATTCACAACACATGTCATCTCAAGGCACTTTACAATTCAACCAGATCATCCAGTTAGATTGGTTCAAAGTTTTCTATCTAAGGAAAACCAGCTGATTGCATCGACTCAAATACGATCCTTCACACTAAGCATACTTGTAGCGACAGTGGAGAGGAAAAACTCCCTTTTAACAGGAAGAAACCTGCAGCAGAACCAGGCTCAGTGTGAGCGGCCATCTGCAAAAGCAGCCGTAAAAGGCGGCCCCGTCCAGGAAACACACAGCCAGGAATAACAAAGGTTAAAGTCTGTGGAGATAATAATCCTTAAGGACGGTAAATGAAGCTTGAATGATAAAATAGTGAATAAGAGAATAGACAGCCAGGAATAGTACACCCAAAACATGATTAGCCTTCATTTTCTACTCACCCCCATGCTGAACAACACTCTGGAGTACTTTTTTGANTCCAGGAAACACACAGCCAGGAATAACAAAGGTTAAAGTCTGTGGAGATAATAATCCTTAAGGACGGTAAATGAAGCTTGAATGATAAAATAGTAAAGAAGAGAATAGACAGCCTTAGTCCTTGGTGAATTCTCAGCCCTGTTCCAACAAAACCCAATGAACTGAATTGTATTAGGGATCAGAATGCCATTTAAACATGTAAACCACAAAAAAAAAAAAAAAACATCTAGCAATGGGTTGTTTAATTTGGATAAAAGCATTTAAAAGAAAAATGAATAGAATCCTATTCTTTACTCATAAAACATAACTAATGTAGATCATTTCTGTTATCCTGGCGTCTTACCCTTGTGGGTGTTGACCTCTCGGCCTTTTCCATTGAAGCTAGCCCTTGCTCTGCGGAATCTTCATTAAACTCACCTGCGAAAAATAATTAAAAAAGGTTTGCAAACAATATCAGTATAATAATTCAGACTCAAACCCCCAAACTGTTGGCCTCTTACTTTGATCTACCACATAAGAAGCAAGGAAATATCCCTGCAGTCCGTTGAGCAGGGATCCAAACCACCAGGTGTCATTGTCTTTGTACAGAACTTGGATCACGTCACCGCGCCGAATGGTGAGTTCATCAGATCGGTTCGCTCTGTAGTCATAGAGAGAAACGACCTGGAAAAGAAACAGGAAACAGTGTCTGGAACCAGTGAAGGATGGAAGCTCAGTGTTACAGTGGAAACTTACTGTTTGTTGAACAGGGGCAGAATCTGGGTCATAAAAACCTGAAGAGGTTTGGTCTGGGACAGTCTATTGTAGAAAGAGAACATTACATTAAACCTATGATTGTATTTTTTAAACTGTGGACCATTTTGCAAAGAGTACTTGACTGAAAAAGGACAAGAAGCTCATAAAACGTACTGCGTGTAGTTTTAAAGATGAGGCTCCTTTTAGCCTCCGACTGATTGGACTGAAGCTTCCTAGAAACAAAACAAAGGTCAGTGAAAAGAGAAGAAAATATCTGCCCACTAATACTTGTCAGGTTTCTCTCTTCTCTATAGTTCATCCTCCTTCAGGGCCATTAATACAGGTATCGTCACATCAGCATTAATCTTTTTTTTTGCGCAATTCTGGCATATAGAAAGTCTATGACAGGACTTTTCTTCCAGACTGAAGGTCCATTTTGAATTTGAGATTTACTCAAAAAAAAAAAAATAAACTCACAACTTCCTTGAGGCAACCAGTGTATGTGCAATTTGGAGATGTGTCACATCTGCAAATCGAGAGCTCTATATTTTATCTTTGAACTCAGCTCATACCTGTGTCTGGTTATTGCTGATTAATAATATGATAGCACTTAGAGAGTCCTCTGTGAAAACGACCTCAGTTGGCAACTTAAGCTTGAAATAAAAAGTTGCTTTTGATGAAAACAATTAGCTAGGTAGTGAACCGCACAATACACTCACGGCTTTGTGCGTTTAGAGCTGCTTGCGGGATTAGCTGGTCTGCCAACGAACCGGAGAGCTGCAGCTTGGAGTGGGGTGAGAGCAGAGACGGAGGAAGTAGTGGGGCATTTAGTCCTGTCTGGGGCAAACGTAAAAGTTATTTGCAATGAAAATAAGACATTCCACTATGCAAGGTACTGACCTGGAAGTATATTAGTACAGCTCATTTAAAAAGTATTTCTTACTAATTTAAAAAGGAAAATTCTTTTTTACATGTACAACACATACATTATTTGGTATGACTGAAATATTTCATGCAACAGCCATATACATTTAGTAGACTGAAAAAGAATATTAGGAAAAGGTTCAGTAGCATGGTTTTGAATGTGATGTCATCTACTCCTTTTGGTCCAGTGTGTTTTCTGAAGATCACAGTCAACCATCTATCAGGAATTTTTGGGCCACTTCCTATTTCAGTGTATTTTTCCACACTGTCACGTCTACTGAAAGCTGCTGTTGGGTTCAAAAAATTGTGACTTCATATTGGACAAAAATGAATCTGACACACAAAGGGATTTTCAAACACAGCTTCCTGCAGGAGGAGAAAGGCTGCCTGCTCACATTCCAGCACCTTTCTGCCCCCCACTAGAATAGCAGAGTCTTTTATTAACAGAATATGACACAATGGGTGGGTCTTAGGACAGAAGACCCTGCAATGATTATCTAGCTGGATGCAGGTCATAAAACAGCATGACCCTGCTTTATGACCAACTGGCTGGAGGCAGGTCATAAAGTGAAATCCTGAAATGACCCTGTAATGTCTAACTGGCTGGAAGCAGGACTTCAATGTTTCATATGCGCACACATCAACTTTATAATTACCATTGAATAATCCTAACAGCTGCTTTAAAGACTACGTGTTTCTGTGTTTCTCTGAGCAGCAAACCTCCCTTAATTTTATTCATGCAAAATGAGCCCCAACCAAGAAACAGACATCATTTTTTAGAACCATACATTGTCTTATAATATTCGTCCTCATTGATGTTATGTCAAATTTTATTTTTTTAGACTGAATGGTGGGTTTAAAATTTCTGAAAGTTGTAATTATCACAATTAAAATAAAAGGATGTAATATTTCACTAATACATCTACATAATCCTTTTTCACTTTCTGAGGTAAATGGCAAAAATACAGAACCTTTTAATGACATTATTTTTTAATCCGTTCTACACATATTTATTCTCCCATATCTCTAAGGTTAAATATTAAAAAACAGATGATCAATTTGAAGCAGCAAAGACTTTAATGATTAATTATTGAGATTTTGATTAATATTAATTCATTTGTTTCCCCAGAATTCAAAATAAAAGCTAATGGCAGCTAAAATGTGACGGAATAAAGATTAATAGTATACTGCTATTAGACTCACTGTGCCAACGTCAGATGTAAAGCTCCTGCTTGTTTGACTCATGGCCCCTTTGTCTGCAAATAAAAGTCAGTGTACATGTATATATTTATGTTTTTATTAAAAACAAAACAGAAAACCATACATGAAGCTACAAACTCTGTTAGTTGCTATATACAAAGTTTGTTTTTCCAGATTAGCAACATACCTTGATCAAAGCTGAGTCCACTAGCTGAAGCTCTTCGATGTGGTTCCTGCATATAAGAAAGAATAGATCTGTTCCTTAAGTGATTATAATAGAGAGCAATAACTGATATTTACAACATTAAATGAAATAAAAATCAAATCTGGGTTATAAAAAGAGTCTCTCTTACAAGAACTGAATCCAACCGTTCTTTAACAGACTGCATTTTCAAGGCAAGCCTAGCTGTGAGGGCAAACTGATCCATGGCTGAAGGAGTCGGCGTATCCTGCAGCATCACCGAGTCTGGAGTGTTTCGCACGGTTTTGGTGTCTAGAGACGCCGATCGGCTCAATGCCTTCACGTTCGGCATCTCCAGCTGGGAAACTGTTGAACAAGGAAAAAACACATTCATTTGATGAATAATCCTTCCAAGCTCAGTGAAGCAGCTAATTTCAATGATTCAAATTCACCATTCTACCTACCAATTTCTTTACATGTGTTGTCACTTAACATTTTTAAAGATTTTTTTCTTAGTTAATGTGAAAAAAAACAAAACAATGGAATCAGCTTTCTTAAGAAATGTCCTAATTAGTAGACATTTTTATAAACAAAGGAATAAAAGACTTTTAGCCTGACACAACCCCAGCTGACAAAACAGAAACAACCCTGACAGCTGGAATAGACCAACCAGCAGGTGGTGCTGTTGTCTCATTTAGCAGGTGGATCTATCATGTCTGTATTTTAGCTATAAAACTGACTAGAAAGGAAAAAAAAAACAAACCAAACGACGATGCTGTTCCTGCATCCCCTCTTGTAATGCCTTGAGTCTGCCCCACTATTGGAGGAAAAACGCACATCGCCACCAAGAAGAAAAAAAAGGGCAGTCACAACAGTGGGGAGGGGGACTGAATGTTAGGAGACATGAGAACTGATGGTCACAGCTTTTCTCCATCCAGTCTGTCTTAGCCCAAAGAGGCAGTAAAGATTTTTGAGAATTTTTGGTCTGAAAACTTGAAAAAGCAATCCTTACAGGTCCCTCATCCATGCTCTCTGCTGCGCTACAGTCCTCACTCCCCAGCATAGCCTGCTGTGGACATGCAGGGTAGCAATCAAGGCTACCAAAGGTGGATAAACAGCTATGGTACACTGATAGGGAACGAACAGCAATGCTTTACATGGACTCACAGCTGCTTGAATATCAAATGCTGTGGAGGGAGGAGTGTGAGCAGCAAAGACCACCAGCATGACTGGCTTTGATTGACTGCTTCTGACTGGGAGCTGCATATTAAGGTCCTTGGCAGGAAGCAGACAATATGTAAAACTTTCTTCTTTAAGATTTCTACAGTACCTGTAAGCTAGATTGTAAATTAGAATCCAGAAACAGTTTAGTTTCCAGATGTGCAAAGCTGGTAGAGACTTGCAGCTGTAGACCCAATAAATATTCAGTCTAGTTCTGACTGAAGGGGGCTTACAAACCAAAGCACATACACTTTTTTTAGATTTATATTTGGAAAACATCTCAAGTTTGGAAACACAGTCAATCACCTTTCTTTATAATCATTTGCTTCCCTGCAGAAGTCTGTCCCATAAAATCCCAATAAAATGAACTGCATTTAATGGTCATAACAAAATAGAAAGGAGGTTATATAAAGGAAAACATTGTAGATTATTTGTTAGAGACACGCACCTTTGCGATCGTACAGGTACACATGGACAGGTTGGCTCTCACCGAAAGCACAGAAAGCTACCATGTTCTCATGGGGATGGAAGGAGACGCCATGGAGAGCAGTGCGGTAACAAAGCTCTGAGTACACGGCGAGCTGGTCTCCTGGGAAAGCAAATAAAAAAATCAAACTAGTCTAGTTAGAAAGCGGTTCACCTTATATTTCTGGGTTTTTTTTGTTTTTTACTGTAACCTGTGTCGGTATTCCAGACGTATGCCATCCCATCCTCACTACCAGAGAAGATGAAATTTCCACATGGTGTGAAAGTGCTGTATATTCTCTCTCTGTAGTTTGTCGCACCCGTGTACTTCTTGATGGCCAAACTAAAATAAGGCCCATTTAACACAAGGAATTATTCAAAAATCCCGAAAATATAAAAAACATCAAATGTTACTTTTTAAAACCCTGTTGAAACGAATTGATAAATGTCTTGTGTGATTCACTTACATCCTTAAATCCATCATCCTGAGGACGCTGTCTTTGGCGTTGATGAGCAGACACCGCCCATTTGGATGGAGCTGCAGCATGTTGATAGGGATACCACTAAGGTCGCGCTCATCTATTTTCTGTCATTAGCCAAAAACAGAAGAAAAAAACATCTTTGTTTCTTTGTAAATAACATCTCCCATTTTGGTTTAACAAATCTTTATCATATTACATAATCTTTTGAAGTAATATCAAACTGGTACCATTTCTATGGACCAGTTATGGCATGGATGCTGATGTTGTTTGCTGGGATTTATGGAGGTTTTCCACACAATGATGATCCCGCTGTTGTCTGCAGAAAACATTCTTCTCCCTATTGACATCACATATATATTTATATAAAAATATAAATAATCATAAACAAAAACAAAAAAAAACACCCCAAAAACTTTAGAATTATTTGGAATAATTAATAAGGCATAAGGAATAGTTGCGTTTGCAGCCCACTTATTGTTCCCCTCAGTCTCTTCAAATAATAAGCGAATCATTCTTTTGTTTAAGTGGATCCCAGTTTCTAAGACTTTTAAGCAGCGGTCAGTGACTTCCTGAATATGACATCACATCATTACATTGATCAGGATGGTCATTATTTTAGCTATTTATTTTAAATCGAACTAAAGCAATGATGCAACAAAAATTGGCGATGTGGCTTCTTCTCGTCTCTAAAACAATCATTTTAGACAATTTGGGGCAATAAGTGATTAACAGGTTATTAAATATATATATATAATATATATAATATAATATATATAATATAAATATTCTAGCTAAGAAACTTTTATTTACTCCCTTGGCAGATTTTTTTTAAAAACATGAATCATATGATCAAATTTAAGAACTTATTTCAAAAGGCAGCTTTTTTTTTCACAAACCACTCAGTAAAGGTTGATATTACAAACTGTGCCATGATTTCTTTGTCTAATAACCAAATAATCCTCAACATCTGCTGCATTAAAAGACGCGTCAAACATTAGCATTTGTCTGCTTCGCTTGCGAGTTCAGACGTACCTTCAGAGTCAAAACAAATGGTGTTGATGAAGCTGCTGTGAGCCTCGAACTCCTGCAGCATCTGTCCGTTCACATCTTCCACATCAAGTCTCCACACTCGGATGAGGCGGTCATAGCTGCCAGTCACCGCAAGGTTCTGGGCGCTGGGATGGTACCGAGCACAGTATACGAAGGATGGGTGAGGCAGCACCTTCTGGGCACTTTCTAGAAGCCTTTCTACATTCCACTCTCTAAGAAAGAAGAGAATGTAAGCGACAAAAACACATAGTAGTACCTATACACTCCTGATCAAAATCTTAAGACCAGTCAAAAAATTGCAAGAATTTGCATTTTGCACTATTGGATCTAATGTTAAAAGAAGAATTCAGCGTAAGAGACAGAAACTTTTGAGCAGGGAATTCATTGAAAACTGCATTTATGCTCAAACATGATTTTTCATGATTTTTTTTCTCATCAGAGAAGACAACTTTCTTCCACCTTTCAATGTCCCATGTTTGGTGCACCCTTGCAAAGTCCAAACGGGCAATTTTGTGGCGTTGAAGAAGATGTGGCCTTTGAAGACGTTTCTGAAGCCCTTCTCTGGCAGATGCCGTCTGATGGTTATTGGGCTGCAGTCAGCACCAGTAATGGCCTTAATTTGGGTAGAGGATCGTCCTGTGTCTTCACGGACAGCCAGTCGGATCCTGCGGCTCAGAGCTGGTGAAATTTGTTTGGGTCTACTAGTTGACTTTTTTGTTCCATAACCCTCAGGATCATTTAAAAAATGCAAAATGTCTTACTGCATCCACCTCAGCAGCGATCGCACGTTGTGAGAGGCCTTGCTTATGCAGCTCAACAATCCCACCACGTTCAAAGTCAATGAGCTTTTTTGCTTTTGCCATCAGGAGGTCTTGACAGTGTAAAGATTTGACAGAAAATTAAATGAAATCCAGATTTTTGCACAGCTTTTGGCTTTTAAAGACTATGGTCTTAAACTTTTGATCAGCTGAAAAAATCATATTTGAGCATAAATGCAGTTTTCAGAAAATTCTCTGCTCAAAAGTTCTTCTCACTTGCACTGATTTTTTCTAGGGATGCACGATATTGGGATTTTGGCCGATATCCGATATGCCGATATTTTAAAACTCATGTAGCCGATAACCGATAACGATACCAATGTTAAAGCTGGACAAAAATAAGTAGTCATTGAAAATAGCAGTTTTGTTATCCATTTCTGACACTTTGAAAAATAATATACTCAAATATATTTTCATATGCTGATATCAAATTGATTTTTAAAAACGCGGTATCGATCTATTTTACTTTCAAAATCTCGTGAAATGTATCAATATTTTTCCCTCGTCTTTAGAAGTTTTTAAGTCTGTAAAAAAGAAGTTTTTGAGGAAGAAGAAGAAGTAGTATTTATTTTTACTTTTTTTAGACTTTAGAAACTCAGAAGCTGATCAAATATCGGGTTAAATATCGGTGGGGTGGCCGATGTCCGATATTCAGTTTTAAGGCCGATACCGATAGGGGGCCGATTATATCGTACATCCCTAATTTTTTCCTTTAAAATTGTGAAGCTCTACTTTGAACCTTCTTAAGATCCAATAGTGCAAAATGCAAATTCTTGCAATTTTTTGACTGATATTAAGATTTTGATCAGGATTGTAAATGTCCTGTTTTTCCCTTTTATTTACATGAGGGAACCTAGACTCACCTGACAGTTCCATCTGAGGAGGCAGACAACAGGCTTTTATCATCTATGGACCAGCAGAGATCATACACGATTTTCAGATGACCGTTGAAAGCAAACAGAACTTTACCAGACGGGATCTCATACACTGAAAAAATAAGAGGGTCCACCAAAGTTGGAGATGATTGTTTCTCAGAACGGTAAAAAGACCAAGCTGAGAAATGGAGGCGGGACTGAAAGCAGCTACAGTAGCTTTGTACAAAGGAGCATCAGCATCGCTCACCAATAACAGGGAAGGCATCTCTGTCAGCACAGGCAGCAGCCAGCATGGTTCCAGCAGGAGAAAACAGCACCGTGAAACAGCCCATCTTACCACCCCGGAAGGATAAAATGTGCTTGTTAGGAATCCGACAGACCTAGAACAGAAAAACCTTTGTAAGTTGGATTTCTTGAAAATCTGGCTATTTATGATGCAAAATGTAATGGTTTTCTTTGTTTGTTTGCTTTTTTCATCTGATATCATATAACAAAACATCACTAAAGTTTTCACCTATTTTTTTCCAACATTTTGTTGCAGTACAACCCCAACCTTCAATGTATTTTATTTTCTATTTTGTGTGACAGCTGTAGTACATATAGGGCTGAACCAATTAACCAGATTCATACTGATTAATCAATATTTTAAATAATTGTCAACTAATTTAATAATTGATTAATTGTTAACTGGAATATAGACACTCTAAAACATCCTTTTAGCTACTAGAGCTGTAATCACATCAACATTATAAAAAAATATATAAAGGTATAGTGGTATAAAGATATATCCCTATACCTTTAAGATAAAAAATTAAATAAAATTGTCTGTCAATATGCTCTATTCAGAACTCCATAAGTGGAAAAGTTTGAGTCTCACCAGTTTTAGCTTCGTAAAAAGTATTCTTTAAAGAATCTTTGGCTATGAAATCAATCGATCAATCGAAAAAATATCGACAGATTAATCGATTTGCAAAATAATCGTTAGTTGCAGCACTAAGTATATAACTGTCAAGTGGAAATAGAATACTGGACATCCACCTCAACACAGTCAAACCTGGTGACGGCAGCATCATGCTACGGGCTTTCTGTTTTTCGATCGGTGTAGAAGAGAAATGCATGGAGGTAAACACAGCTGCTAAAGGCTTGAGCTTGGAACAGAGATTCAGGGAAGAACCACCCTAGAAATAACAGCAGGACTATCCTGGTGTAGCCCAGTCCACATTTTCATGTCTTAGGATGGCCCATTAAAAACACACAACCCGTTTCATTAAGAATTTGTAGTAAGAATTGAAGATTAACGCTCGGAAAGGTTCTCCATCCGATCTGAGTGAAATGTTTGGTAAACAAAAATTTTTTTATACAAGGACGAATGTTATCATGCAACTACCTGACCAGGCAGTCGGCTCCATCTCAAGATGGGCTGCTTGTTTTCAGTGGCGTGTGTCAGGCTTCTCCTGGTGATTTCGTTTTGCAGTTCACTATAGGAGGTGCTGCCTCTCTCCTCCTGTAACGCCATCATAGACCGGATTCCAGGGTCCACCTAAAGAAAAGAAAAAGAATGATCAATGATCAAAATCAAATACAGAAAAGAGGAAAAAACTAAATTAAGTTAAAAACGACATAAGAACAAACTTACATGCTCTGGAGGTTTGATTCCTTTCACAGTGACATAGAGCGTGGATGCATATTTGGTTCTCGGATACTTCCTCCACCACTCAAACACCTCGATTGTTTTCGGTTGTCTTTTTGCCCGATGTGGAGGACAGAAAAGCTGAAGGCGGAGTTTGCTCTCAATGTTCAGAATCCCGTTTGCGCCAACGAGCTGAGGGTTGGAGGAAAACTCAAAGAAACCCTGAAAAATGCCAGATTACGACTCGTTTTTTGCTCATTTTTAATGAATAAAAATCTTACCTTAAGAAACGCCCAAGCAATCTTCCGAAACCCTCGCTCATCGTTTTTGGCTTTTGCTTCCTTCATAGTCATAAAATCAAGGATCTTAAAAAAAATAAAACCATATTACCAGAAAAATATCCTCATAGGAGGTAAGTTTGGGATAAAAGTGTGTCTTACTTCAAAGAAGAGGATTATTCTTGGGGCTGCATCTGATTGCTGAACAAAGAAACCGAACCGTTCGTTGAATATGATCTGCTCCTGCCACTCAGGGATAATGGATTTGTTCTTCTTGAAGTCAAACGGCTGCGTCATGATTGGCAGGATATGGTCCACATTTTCTCTTTCATAAAATGAAGAGACATGACGATGGCTTTGAAAACAAAGGAAGAGCTTTACTGTACAGCGTTAGAATAAACAGAAACAGGCTAACATTAACACTAAAGCGAGCTAAAGTCATGTAAAGTCTTAGGATGTTGGTTCTCACCAGTCCTCTTTCTTCACATATTGCCCTGTGTTTTCATCAACAATATGGATCTTCACCATGGGGTGTGAGATCAGTAAGTCTGTCATGAGGCGATCAGTTCTGTGAATAAACACTCCCAGAACAAGACTGTCATCAAAGGTCTGTTTTTCGGAGTCTCCCGGATCTGCTTCACTCTCCTCTCTGACATCTGAAAGATTGGGGGAAAAAAATCAGGCAGGAGTTTCATCCGAATCCATATATTTTAGGTTTGATTACAATTTTGTACAAACAAACAATCCAACCTGAATCAATATGCTTTTTCTTCTTCTTTTTCTTCTTTCCCTTTGATTCAGGTTCATTTTCAGCATCAGCCTCTCGCGCAACGTCTTCACTTTCATCTCTAACAGTGAAAAAATGATTACTATTTTTAAAATGATTACAGGACTTTAAAACTAGTAATTTTAAAATGCTGCTTAAGCTGAGATATTTTGCTCTTTTATATTTGAGAAAACCACATAATAAAAACCATAAGACCCACCCTTTATCTGATTCAGCGGTAACAGGTTTGAGCTTCTTCTTGTTCTTTTTCGTGGTCCTCTCTTCTTCCTGTGCTATCTGCTGCTGGTATTCATTTAGCAGTTCATCTTCCACATCCTCCACCCTGTTCTCTGCTGGAACCTTTGTGTCTTTGCTTTTTCCTTTCTTACTCTTCCGTTTAGGTACTTTTCCACCACGAGCATCTTCTGACTCTAAAGTATGTTCTGGCTTAGGAGAATCTCCGTCCTCTTCTTTTTTATGTGCGGTGTTTTTATGTACAGGCAGGGGAGGAAGGTCCCTCCTGCTTTTCCTCGTTGCTTTAGATGTTACACCCTCCTCTTTGCTTTTGCTGGTGTTGACATCAACCTTTTCTGCGTCTTTATTCTTTTTGTGACGTGGGCTATCCTCTTTCGAATCGTGTGAGTTTTGCAGAACCGTCTCATCATCTTCTGCCTCGTTTTCCACTATTTTTTCTTTCAGACTCTTAAGCTAACAAACAGAATGAAAACAACAAAATTATTAGAATCTTTGTTTTCTGTTAATGAAAATTATGTCCATTTAACTGCTTTGCCTAAAAGAGGTTAAACCATGTCTGTGTCTTCTGAATTCAGGCTAACATCTTTGTCTTTCTCTTGTCAACTCAGGGGCAAAGTTATATTTATTAGATCAAATGTCAATAAGAAAGTTACATCATAAATGCATGCTTTTCCAAGACACTGATACAGGTGTAATTTTACTAAAATATTCTAAAAACTAAACTTTCATCTTAATAAATAGAAACAATTTAAAAAAGGTGAAGATAGCAAAAGATAAATGCTGACTAAGCAGCTACTAAACAAGAAAAAACATTCAAGCTTAACTAAAATGTGAAGCGTCCTATTTGAAAAAGCCAAATTAATTTGAAAGAAAGGTTTGATTGTCAAACTGGAAAAGATAAAGCTATTAAGCCATAATGACAGAAGCAATGTTTGGACCCACTATGTGGAAAGGATTCCTAAAACATCTAAAGCATCTAGCACTATTTAGGAAAAGAAGAATTACAAAAATATCAAAACAGGGAACATTAGATGGTTACACAGGCTCTTTGTATATATTTCATACTGCATCTAAAATTCTGTCTGTGTGATTTAGAGATGTATAACCCTGCTGTATGTTACACAGTGATATAAGTTAATGTGTGAAATTGTCTGTTTTTTATGCCATTATGTGTGCTCTTCTAATATTTCTGTGCAAAAAAAAAAAATCTTTGTAATGAATGATGTGCTGAATCAAAGCACTAAAGAAAATGCATGTAACAAAAGACGTACCACAGTAGTTTCCTTGGCTTCAGTCTTCTCCTTCTTGGACTTTTTCTTGTTTGATTCCGTATATTTCTTGAAAACTTCATTAAATCTTTGCCGGGTGTTTGCCCGCTCTTCACCCACAGCTAGAAGAATTTACATTGTCTTTAACAGGAGTTATCTATGCCTTCTCCTACAAAATAACAGTGAACAGATAAAACTAAAATACTCAACACGATTTCTGAATGGGGGAAGGGGAGAGGCGCCATAATGGTTAGGGCATAGAGCTTTGAATCCTGAGGTTTTGAGTGTGAAACCCACTCCCACAGACTGGAACTCTATCTCTGAGCAAGACACTTAACCTCACACTGCTCCCTGGATGCCCCACTGTGGCAGCCCACTGCTCCCCTAAAGGGAGCAATGCAGATTTAAATATATCCAATGTGAGATCAATAAAGTTCAACTAATTATTTATCTGCAGTTCTAATTTAAATTCACTTTTATTTTAGAATAAAACGTTATGATAACATTTTAATGTAACATGTAATGTAGCAACTTTGTATTCCAGTAATGTGATAAATATATTAAATAAAAAAATCACTTTTATGGTTAAAATAGACAACACAGGTGGACCCATGAATAATAAAAATTCACTAAAATAAGTTTCATAGTTGGTCCAGCTATAATCATTAAACTTCTATTTAAATATTTTGATGTGAAAACAGTAACAGAAAAGCAACTTACCTCCTGGCATTGTTATACAATGTGATGTTTCTTAATCTTTCTGCAAAAATAAAACAATAAAAAAGAAAGTCTTCCATCACAACTCATATACTCCGATGTGATATTTTTTGCGTTTCATTGACAAAGTAATCAAACAGAAAAAACAAGGAAAAAAGGTTTACATTTCAGTTGTTAAATGTTAGACTAAGTCAAACTGAATTAAACAAAAAAGCAAAACCAAGTTAGCGGTTGGCTAATTAACGGCTAGTTTTCCAAGTGGTAGCTCGCCTTGCTAATCTGACACAGCAACATTTACATTCGAAAACAAACATCTGAGCCTCAATATAAACAAAAAGCAAATAAATGAATTTAAAAAGGCGTGGGAGTTACCTACAACAGTACAAGTATGTAAATCTGGAGCACATTGTACTCCAACTTCCACAACGACGCTACTTTGGTTTCCTAGCCAACAAGGAAGGTGAGGGTGGAGTCAAAGTATAAACAAAGCAGAACCAACCAATCACGTCTAAGGAGATAAAATACGTAGCTACGCATTAAGTGTAACATTGAAATTGCTCCGGCTACGGACATATTTTCAAGGCCCCCTTGTTCTTTGTACTCACCAGCATAGATATCCATAATAATTATTATGGATATCTATGCTCACCAGCACCAGTTTAGCCACTTTGCTGTTTGTGAATAATTTTCCCACTTTCCTTTTTTAACTATCAGCATTTACTTTACAAGTCATTCGAATACATGTCTGTGTAGCGCACATATTCGATAGCCGGAAGAAACTAGGGACGGTTTGTCCTTTGCGCATGCGCAATTTGGAAAACTCAGGTTGATATGAGCTTCCGACTGAGATGTGCTCAGATTTTTTTTTAAAATAACAAAAATATTTAATAGTTATTGCTTATATTGAAAGTTAAAAACCAACTATCATAAGAAAGGGTATAAAAGTAGAAAATGAAGCCGTGACAATGTTAAACACCACGTTGCTGGAACGACTGAATCTCAAAGAGAAGAAAAAAATAACTTTAATGAAATATATCAATGAAAAAAAAATTAAAGACATCACATTAAATATATAAAAAAAATTAACAACCTCGTATAATAATAATAATAATAAACAGTTTTGTTGAGGTTTAGTTACTGCTCATAATTTATAGCTTTCAGTAATGCATCACTGAAAAAGTTGAAGCATTTATCTATTACGAGTAAAATACTGAAAAAAGTCAAACATTGTTGCTGTTCATTCAATATGTTTTTTGTTTATTTTTTTGCAGTCAGCTTCAGCAAAGAAATGAAACTGTCCTGTTTAATGTAAACAATACAGACGGAGAATTGGTCCCACAACAGTTCAGTACCTTTTCTTCTTAACTTGTAAAATATTACTACACAAAAAGATAGGTTCAGCCAATCTTCCATATTTTCAGCATGTAGATTCAAGTAACGCCATTCTTAATTTAAACATAATTTCTAGCTTCTCTAACAACCTATATCATGTTTCTATTTTCTACATAACAACCCTGCACCTTCCTGCCCAAAATGATTGAACAAAAAATAAACTGATTGAGAACCCAACATAAATAAAATACAATAAAGAACATGTTTTGTTGCACTGTTGCCTAGCAGCAAGACCCGATTTATCCACGTCCCTATTTCTGCATGGAGTTTTATTGTTCTCCCTGAGCATGCGTGGGTTTTCTCCGGGTACTCGTTTCCCCTCCACAGTCCAAAAAAAAAAAAAAAAACTGTTAGGTTAACTGGCATCTCTAAATGGTCTCTGTGTTGTCAAACTGTCCAGGCAGTAAGTAAACAGCAGGTGGACAGGGGCCTCACCGCGACCCTGACGTAATAAGAACATAGTAAATCAATGAAATTTGCAAAATAAATTTTTTTGTCAATGTTTTGTAATTTGCAACTTTTTAATAAAGTTTTGGATTGAAAAAAAAATGCAAAATACAACAAGCCTGTAAAATACCCTGACATTTCTAAAATGTGAGGTATCACAGAGAAGAAAAGAAAAACAAAACATTGTTTTGATTAACGGAATATGAGAGTTGTGTGGGAAAAAAAAAAAAAAAGTTCAGTGATAGGCGCCAGAGTCACGTGACTTGTCGAAAGGCGTGTCCTCCTGCAGGTTCTTGATTTAGACCTGTGTCATCACCTTTTGTTGTGCAGTCATGGGATCGCTGTTTTGTGAAAGGTGTTCCCGATTGCTCCAATGCTTCACCGAACGTCTGAGGAAAGTTTGGACAGAATTCGAGCTCAAAATCCAGGAATTCTTTAGGGAAATTGCCCATTGCACCTGCTTTGGAGATGCACCTGACAGGAGAAGGGCTCAGGATTTATCATCATTACAGCTCATACATGGTAAGACTCAGAACTGTTCAGTTTAAGATATGACCATCAGTACCTATGCTTCAAGTTTGATGATGATTACTTTTTACACACAGTCAGAATCAATTAAACAAACATATTTAAAAACATCAGTGTTTGTGGAAACTGAAGTCAATGAATAGTTACAATTTCAAAAATACAACTTAAAAAAATGTTTTTGAAAGTATTTGATTATGTTTTACAGCTTTATCAGAAACTTAATTTTTTTCTAAATAATTTTTTTTTAAATAATTTTAAAAGTCGACCACAAAAGGTAATTTCTTTAAAAAGCGAATTGCTCACTGATTGCTAAAGTTTAGTTTAAATGTTTTGAATTCTGTTTAGTTTTTTCTTTAGCTGTGAGCCATATGTAATATAGCCTTTTGTAAAATGTTTTTTTTTTTGTTTATTAAAATTCTATGATTAAAAATGTTTGTCAATAACTCTAATTTATTGAGATATAATTATACAAATTCTCCTTTTTTTCAGGTGATGAAATTCAGATATTCAATCAAAGAAGCCTCCAAGCGCTGGACCGACTTTCAGTTTCTCAAAATGCTGATCTGCAAATGACTGCTGCCATATATTACCTTTACATCAGCCATAACTGTAAGGACTTTTGCTTTATTTAGAAATCCTTATTATAGCATTGATCTTCAGGTGAAGGATGTTTAAAATGTGACTGCAGTTTGCACTTTCCCCTCTCAGGAGATAACAGAAAAGACCAGTATGCAAATGTTCAACTGTATTTTTGATGGCCAGCATGTGGTTCATTTCACTTAGGAGAAAAAAAAACAAGGTTTTCCTTTGAAAACATAATATTCTGGATTACTGGGAATTAAAATGCTTTGAAGGTTTTATGGAATATTTTTAATGTGTTTTTTATTGTTTTGTTTTGTTGGAATCTTGACCAACACTTAAAATACACATTAAATGGTCGTGTATAAAAATATTTGGATACGCTTTTGCCATAGTTATGGTTAAAGAAGTTTTTATTGGCTTTTAATTGTTGAAAAGAAATGATAAGAAATGTTGGACCTGCCTGATTGATAGGAGTTATGGAAGCCCTAGAGGGAAAAAAAAGAGCAACAACTTTTGTTTCCAAAGGTGCTGCTATTCAGTGGATTAATTTCCTATCTGCATGTGTGATCACCTCTCTAAAATATGCTGTTGTTTAAGACCTTTACTGACCTTTACCTTTACTAAAAGGGTAGGATTAAATAAAGTTAAGGAGGAAATTATAAGAAAAGAGGTTACACAAGTAATCCCTGCCTATCAATTTAGTAAAAGATATTGTATCATCTCAAACAAATGTGCTGTACGTGAACTATGTGTGTGCAATACTCTGAGAGTTTAAAATACACCATATTGGTCTTAATAAACCTCCGTCTGTGTGATTCTAATTGTGACATAACGATTGCACAATTGGAAACACACTGAACAACTGTGATATATCTGGGACGACAGCCAGGAGAAAGCAGGTGAAGAATAATGTAGCAGAACAACATATTTTTTGCACATTTGGCTCTGAAGGAAACACAACTCTTTTAGAATAATCGCCTTAGGACAGACGGGATCATGGTGGAGAAGGACCTTGTATGGAGGAAATACTTTAGAGCTGATTAAAAAAAATGGTCTCATAACTTATTAAGCATGGTGGAGGAGGGGTGATGATTTGGATGTGTTTTGTACCAGCAGGACCAGGGCCGCTTTTAGAGTTTTGAGTTAAAGGTATAGTGAAGGATTTTCACAAATTCCTGAAAAGACCAGCCCTCTCCACATGAAAAAAAAAAAAAAAATGCACATGCACCCTTAACCTGCTCCCAAGGGAATGCTTATGGAGCGCGTGCGAGAGCGTGCACGAGCGTGCACGAGCCCATTTCTCCTCATGCACGCTCTGTTTAAATGTAGCTGTTTGCATAGTTCATACAAGCTTTTATTCCTTAAGAAGATTTGCAATTTTTTTTCCACTCTGTCAGACTCACCAGCGGTAAGTGAAAATGGGGACGAGTATGTAGGACGGCCTTATCTAAACATATCACCAGAATGATTAGCAATTAGGAGGACCACTTATTTTGATGATATATGTAGAAATATTCTTGTTAACTGTGAGGTAATCTGTTTTACTGTTATGGATTTTCTTGGAATTGAGTAATGAAAACTGCAAATTTAGAAAAACTATAAAATGTCACTGTAGTTCTGAACATACTTTTCTATAATTAGCTAGCTATGACCCCCATATACATTGGGACTGCAGTTTATAGATCTGTTTTTTTTTGTGTGTTTTTTTTTTGGCACTGGTACCTTTCCCTGATACATTGGCATCCTTAAAAAATCTTTACATCACTACTACTGACCTCACATGACATGAACCCAATGGCATTACTATCGGTAAGCAGAGTATTCAGTTGCTTAGGGGCCCCTGACCTCTTAGGGGCCCCGTCACTGACACCTGGTTGGGCCCCTACACAGTTGTGGACTAGGACGTCTCTTTGCAGATGTAATGGTGCAGAAAATTCCTCATAAACCCACCTGATACTACGTTAACTGACCGGACCGTATTTTTTACCTCAACACATCCGGTTGACGGTTGGTAAAAATACACTCATATAATATGTTTTAAACCGCAATAAAGAACTTAAAAGAACAATGTATTTGAGTACTTTATTTTTCAACAATACGACTTGGAATTATGGAACAGCGTAGATTAAAACCATAACTGTTGCCTACAACACTGCAAAAAATGTAAAGCTAAATAAGTCATTTTTGCCCAAATTAAGTGCATTTTTTCTTGAATTGAGGAGGTAAGTGAGACACTTTGCCAATGGAACAAGACAATTTACATTTAAAATAAGAAAAAAACAATTGCTTTGTCTCATTTTAAGTGTATATTATCTAATTATCTTGTTTTAGGAGTAAAAATACTTATTCCATTGGCAGATCATCTTATTTACCTGCTCAAATTAAGGGTAAATACACCTAATTTAAGACATTTTTAAGTTATTTCTAGATGTTTTTTGCAATGAATGTGTTTGTGACGATGGATACCAAAAAGAGGTACTTAAGCGGATTCCAGAAAAGAAAAAGCAAAGAAGAGCTGCTGGAAGAACAGAAAAAAACGTCCCAAAAAATAATGTTGCTTACGGACCTATTGTTGTGAGGTTGTGCCGTTGCATGAACTGTTGTACTAAAAGTCATTGTGCTGTAAAATAGTCAGATTTGGTTCAAGGTTGACCTCCCAGGCTCATGCCCCCAATGGTTAAGACTTGAATTATTACTACCTAATAGACCAAATAAGAAGCATGACATACCTAAATACTACATAATGACTCGTTTTGTAGTTTGTTCTGATTGACAATCTTCTTCTGTCCATAACACTGCAAAACCCATCTAAAAATTAGAAAAAATTTCTTAAATTAAGTGTATTTACCATTAATTTGAGTAGGTAAATAAGATAATTTGCCAATGGAATGAGTAATTTTTGTCTTAAAACAAGATACATAGATAATATGCACTTGAAATAAGACAATGCAATTGTGTTTTCTTATTTTAAATGTAAATTATCTTGTTCCATTGGCAAAGTTTCTCAATTACCTCCTCAATTCAAGAAAAAACACACTTATTGCAAGAAAAAATGACTTATTTAGATTTCAATTTTTTGCAGTGCAACTGTCTAGTTTTCCTTGAGATTTGAAGCTTTCTGCTTAAAATGTACCTAAAGAGCTCCACTTCTGTAACCCTACTGTATAAATTTATGTGAATAGCTTATACTTGCAATATGTAAATGAGGGATGTAGAAACTGAGTTTTTTTTATTTTAGAGGGTTTTTTTTCTTTTACAATTTTCAGTGAGATTTTTTTATATCAGCTGTGCTGCTGCCATCAATGCCTTAGTTTATAGATGTTGGAGTTTGGCCTGGTTTTCAGTGTGGTCCTGTTTCTCTGACCGTGACTGGCTGGATGTGCCCTCTTCATCCTCTGACATGGGAGCTGGCGGAGCTCGTCTGCCTGGCTGTGTGTTTCCTGGACGGGGCCGCCTTTTACAGCTGCTTTTTGTGTCTCTGTTTCTGTCTCCTTGAACCCCAGTGGGCCTCAGCAGATGGCCGCTCACACTGAGCCTGGTTCTGCTGGAGGTTTCCTCCTGTTAAAAGGGAGCTTTTCCTCTCCACTGTCGCTACAAGCATTTTTAGTGCGAGAGACTGCCTTCCAGTGGAGAAATATTGAGTCGATGCAATCAACCTCGTTTTCCTCAGATAGAAAACTTTGAATCAATGTGACTAAATGATCTAGTGAATTGTAAAGTACCTTGAGATGATGTGTTGTGAATTGGCGCAGTATATATAAACTGAATTGAATATAGTCCTGATTTTATTTTTACTCGCTAAGTCTTAGGAATGAAAAAAATTCCCCTTTGCTTCTGGAACTTTCTTCTGCTTTCTGCCATTGTCTGTTTCAGTGAAATCCCCTTTACCAGATGCCTTCATAGAACCCATCATGGCTCTTCTTTTATCCCCTCATCTGGACGTTCAGAAGACAATTTCCTTTGCCCTGGTCAACCTCTTAGTGAAAAATAATGGTAAGACTAATGTTTTATCATGCTTTTTTAAAATATCAAGATATATAATAAACATCTATCTTTAAAAATGTAAGTATTGAACGCAGCCTAGCTAAAGTTTTGGTGAATAAGCTTGATGGAATGGCTGCTATTTCTGCGATGAAATATGATTTCAGTGTGTAAAGCATCAGTGATCGAGATGGGGATGTTGGTGCCGCTGTTGGAGTTGTTCCAGTCTGGTGATCCCACTGCTCTTTGCCACTCCTGTGCCTGTGTAACCCTGCTGGCCTCCTCAGGTCTGCAGACACACGTTTAATTTGACCTCTTCATGAAAGTAAATACTTTCTAATAAATACTAAATACTACTTTATACTCATTGAAATCTTCCTGATTCAGGTATATACTCCATATAGATATGTGGCAGCAGAGTTAATAATAATCCTGCACTTTTCCTCAGTAACTGCTAAAAAAGGGGGGAAGTAAGAGGCTTTTTTGTTTTTGTTTTTTTTTTTTGGCGAGGGCAGCATCAACATTTTGTTTTTACTTTTGGTCCAGACTCAAACCGAGACGCCATATTGGTGGATGGAATCATACCTTTATTAGCTTTGGCTAAATCCTACGATCCAGCGGTACAGGAGAACGCAGCATGGGCTCTGTTGCAACTCACCCAGTCAGGTTATTATTATTTTTTTTTATTCTTCATTTTATTCATGTCCTCATACAGTGCCCTGCAAATGTATTTGTTTATCTGGAATTTCTCATGTTTGTCATTTTTCAGTTAGTATGTATGGCACATTAGAGAAGTTATGGGCAAAAGTATTCAATACAAAATCCTTAATAGATATTATACTCCTTCTACACTTTACAAAATGGGTATTGGCAGAAATGATCATTGTTGGAAATGCCAAATTGCTAAAGATACTTTCATGCATGCCCTTGGGAATGTCTAGTGATTGTGGAACAGTGTTTTAGGTTACATGCAGGGTTGGTTATAGTGTAATCTACCCAAATCATCTGAACTTTGTTTACTTGGAGACAAAACAGAGATGCCAATATTAGATAAACACTCTTTTAGAGTGTTAAATACTGCATTCTGGAAGACCTCTCAACTCTCCCGACACTTAGAATGTGAAAAGAAAGAATGACTGAAAACGTGGTGTGCGAAAAATTACTGGGAAGACTCCTATGAATTAAACCACGAAGGAACTATGGGACACTTTCTGCATCTAGATGTCTACAATGTAACATTGACATCAGTTGTTTTTCCAGATCTAAACTGAACCTCACTGTTTTATGTTTATTTTTAGTTATTTAATGTTGTTATAAAATACTAAAACTAAATAAATATTATTAAATATAAATAATTTTAAAATAAAATGGTATGTATGGCTTAAAGCTAACAACACAAAACTGTATGAAGCAGAGTAGTGGAGGCATCATGCTGTGGGTATAGTTTTCTGTAGTAGGAGGTCAAGAGTTGATTTTCAAGATGGATAATTTCATAATAAATAATAATAATTCATTTAATTTATACTGCACTTTTCACCAAAAAGGCCTCAAAGTGCTACAAAAAAAAGCATTTAAAAAAGCATTAAAAAAGAAATACATAGAAATAAAAGAAAAAAAATATATATATATAAAATAAAATAATAAAAGCTGTTTTAAAAGAGAAAAAAAGAAACATCTAAGGTGGACCAAAAGTTTTGCTAAAAAGAAATGTTTTAAGGCCTTTTTTTAAACAAGGTGTCAGGGAGGGAATTCCACAGACGTGGGGCAGCAGCACAAAATGCTCCATCTCCCTGAGTCTGGTTCTGGGAATGTGGAGCAGGTTTGAGTGAGTGGAGCGAAGGGAGCGGGACGTGTTCTGTGGCTTGATAAGTTCTTTGAGGTGGGGGGGCGGGGCATGTCCATGGATGCATTGATGTGTGAGGAGGGAGACCTTGTATTCTATCCTGGTGGGGATGGGAAGCCAGTGTAGCGAATGGAGAACGGGGTAATGTGCTCATGTTTACGCACTCTCATCAGGATCCTAGCTGCAGAGTTTTGAACGTACTGAAGCCTCTGCAGACTCTTTTTAGGGATCCCAATGAGAAGTGCGTTGCAATTAGGGATGCACGATATAATCGTCCCCCTATCGGTATCGGCCTTAA